TGTTTGACGACATTAGTGCTTTTTGTCTCAAGAGTCAACAATATACTAGCGCATGTTCTAGCGGATCGCATCACGGAGTAGGTACCATTACTGTATTTCATGCAGTACCTTCTAAATCGAGTCAAGCTTGGAATAATTTGGTATCTCATTACAAATGTATTGTTTCTTTTGACAACAACAGCGAAATTGAAAAAAATATTTAAAAATGATTTTCCTTCTGCTGGAAAAATGCATCACGTCATTAGCGATTTACTTAACAAAGAAACTTCTAGTCAACACGGACACTTGGCATTATTTAAAAGAAATTGTTCTGTTGCCAGATTAAGAACCCAAATTACCAATTCCAAAGAACAAAAAGTGTTTATACCTGTTGACGCTCAAGGAAAATTAGATTTTGATTACAACGAAATGAGCGTAAACAAAAAAATTGTTACTTTTCAATCGTTTCTCCTTATGTTAAAGCGCGAAATTGTAAAAAACCATTATTATCTTAAATCTCATCACAATCCATTTTGTCAAGAAAAAGAGAAGGGAGAACCAACAAACTAACGACGAAGAAGGTAAAAACAATATAAATAGCGAAAAAGAAAATCAAATAAAAAAAAGAAAATGGAGCGAGAGCGAAAGAGCTGCTCTAATGCTTGAAGAAATTAAAAGAAGAAAGAGATATGGATTGTGCGAATCATCAGACGAATTTTCAGATTCCTGGAGACGAATCAAACGAATCAGAATGATTGGGACAGCGAAGAACTGTTGCAACTTTTACAAAGCGATTACGAAGCGTGCAATCTCAAAACATCAAAACGAAAAGACATGAGACAAAAATTAGCCGTTCGCAGTCACATTTTTATACCTAAAATGAACAAACGTAAAGATATAGACGAAAACGAAATTAAAATATGGATCAAAGAAATTTCGACTCGATTTAACGCTGTCAAAATGTTAAAAATGCGAACTTTTGTCTGATCACGAAAGATTACAAATCAAAAAACGCTTTTCAAGATTGCGTATGTTTAGAAATTAAATTGTTTGTCAAAGAAATTTTATATCCTTATCCCAAGTTTAACGAAAACGGAAAAATTATTTTAAAAAAAGAAAAAATGAAAGACAAAAACAAAACCATATCGGATTTCGTTTACAATAATTACGACGTT